AACTCCAAAAACAAATCAGGGGCTGTAAAAGGCTGGGTCGGTGGAGAACATGACCTGTGACGATAACCGGACCCACACAAAGCCGACGGAGAAAGCGATATCTGATGGAGGAGTAATTTGTCTTCCTTGTCATCGCCTTACTAGGGCTTAAAATATTGTTTATAGCACTCGGCAACCAACGCACTCCCCAGCAGCTTTGATTGATGTATGAGGTGTCGCCATGGCAACCGGCATGTGGGAATGATAAGTGACTTTGGCAGGAGAGCATCTCCTTCTGGATGATTAAGACCACCTAAGGGTTCCGTGAGCTTTGTGTGTGTGTATGTAAGGGTGATGAGCTCTACGTGGATAGCCACCCTTGTCTGCTGTTGCCACCCACTCAAAGGGTTAATCAGATTAGGAAGTATGATGACTGAGCAGGTGACAAGGATCCATATGGTGGCACAGGTATGGAGTTTAAGTGACATTAATAGAGGGCTGCAGAGTGCTGCTTCAAGCTTCTATTTTCTGATACTTCTTGACAGGCAGTGATGGAAAAAATAGAGAGAGAGAGAGAGACGGAACAGAGGGCGTGAAACAGGCAGGGAGAAAATTTAAGCAATGTTTGCCAAAAGCAAACTGTTTAAATGCAATTAGCTCCCACCGGGAAGTAAAATGACTCTTGTGTTTGGTGACTTGTTGGTTCCACTGAGTATGAGTCTTGGTAATGGAAAGACCTGTCACATCTTGAGCTCAGCACCCCCTCATTTTCCCAGTGCAGTGCTCCCATGTTTTGCCCTCAAAGCACAAATGTAAGCTCACTGGATCCTGCAGCTCAGCCACTCCAATCCAGTTGACTGCTGAAGGCACAAGCGAGGCCTTTGTACGGCGTTTGCAGTAGAACCACCACTCCCTCTCCTGGTGAAAAGACAAAATGCAGATATCCGGCGTATTTAGGTTAATATTATTCTGTTGTGTTGCTGCCGGTGAAGTAAATAAGTGTGCTCAAGCTCCCACGATGCCTTAAAGAAAACAAATGCTACAGTAATATCACAGACCTGGTGATAGCAGGAGGCGATAATAATTATGAAAGTTGAACACACAAATAAAAGTTTGAAAAAAAAAGATAGACTTTGTCCAATTTAGTATATTGCTGCTAAATTCATTTGCAAGTTACAGCAATGCAAACTACCATAAGAGGATTAAACATAACAGGATTATTTCTGATTCTACGTGCGCCTCATGATTCATAAGTAATTGCTTTACCCTTGTCCCACACTGTTAGCCAAAACGCACCTCAGAGTATAGACCAGGGATGCCAAACTCATTTTACATGGTGGACCTCATACAGCCCACTTTCAACCGGAATGGCAGAGACCGATGAAACTCCCCTTTCTGTCAGTGTAAAAAAGTTTAACTGCACATTTAATCCCTGAGATATAATAAAAGAAGTGCAATTTCCACAGCATGACTCAGTCTTTCTGTATGAATAAGAAATGCTACTCTACTAAATGAAAGAAATCTGTTTCCATGACTGTTTGGCTTTAATTGTAGGAAGTAAATATTTGCCTGGATTGCCCTGTAATAATATAACAGAAAGAATTTTTTTTTAATTCAGAGAAAATTCCGGATGGTTTCTGTTATTTAGTTGTTGATCTATTGGTTAATTACTTTGATGTAGTTTGAAAGGCAATGGGGAGATCCTTAGTAGCAAGAAAAGCTGTAAAACACATGAAAATATAGTTAAAAGTCCTCCTTTACATTTATCATAGCTGTTCAGTGGGAAATGTCCAATTTTGGGCCCTGGGCCTTATGTTTGACACACCTGGTATAGAGCTTTCCCAGAGGATCTGTGCTCTATGGCTCCTGCAGTAAGATAGTAAAAGCTCATTTGAATTGGCTTTGGGAATGAAGACATTATTCTTTCAGTCACAGTTTAAAAAAAGAGGAAGACATTTAGAAGCTTTCACTTTCTTTAAATATGTATCTCCCTCTTGAGAACTGGGCTTCACTGCTGCAGGAAAATTGGCGTCACATGATTTGATTGTGAAAAATGAAGAGAAAGGTTAGTTTTGACACCCCTGTGGTAATCCATTTATAATGCAGAATTATAAATCATTTATCATCACCCCCCTCTTCGGCAGTGTCCAATATGTCTGTGTGCCAGCCCACACCCAGAGTGCCTGTGGCATAGTTTATGTAAATAGAGCATGTAAACTGTTGCAAGGGTGCTGGAAACCTCCCTGTGAGATAAAAACTAGCCTAGCATAGCAGAAAAATCACTTACTGTTCCCCTGTGCATTTGTTTAAGTTCATGCTCTTTCAGTAACAGTGCTTCAGTGTTGATTAATGTGTTTTCAGTGAAGCCAACTTTGACATAATACATATAAGAATCACCAGCTCTTACGCGGCTTGTTAGAAGAGAGCTAAATAACATACACACGCATACCACTTGATTCCCCCCTTCAGTAGATTATTATCTCAGTGTGACACTAATTTATAGTTTAGTTTAATTAATCAGTTTTTCCAAAATGCATTCTGGGATTCATCTGAAGAATTAAAAGCAGCCACCTGCAGACAGCTGGACAGAGAAACAGGCAAATAGTGGCAGAGGCAGGTAGGCAGAGATCCACAGACAGACACGTGTTCCAGTCTGAGTCAGCTTCGAGCTGAGGATAAAAGGCTCGTCAAACACTGCAGACACGCCATGCCAAACACAGTGCGGGCCTCCTGATTCCCTTATCTTTTGCCTTAACCAGTGCAGACACCACCAGTGTAAAAGTATCAAGCATTATCTGTCAGTCAGCAGAGAACTGCCACTCAGTGTAATCATGAATTTAAGATGAAACATTTTCTGGGCTTAAATGAATGAGCGCTTGTCAACACCAGCAAGCTGTGGATCCTGTCTACTGCTGGATCTGATATCATCAGGACATAAACTGTTTAAAGCCTGAGATTACTTGATGGGCAAAAGGGATCATGGTTTTTGAGAGCTTGTCATCCTTCAGAAGCGAAGTGCTCCGGCAATAAATTAGATTATATCGCTCCACAGTAAAAAAAAAGTACTTCTAATGTATGGCACTGAGAACCATTTCTCTCATTTCTTAGAGGGGAAAAGATGAAAAAAAGAGGAGAAGCTGACAAACACAGGACCTAATTGTAACAATAAAGTTATATAACTATCCTGAAATAACTGCAAATGCTAAACATGTCTCGATGTTAACAATCCAACATATGAATACTTCTTTTTTTATTTCAACTGAGCATGCTGGGTGATGGACATCAGTTTTAGTAGGATCAAGTTTAGCAGTACTTATTCACTGGCTACTTTATTAGGCATATTATACAGGATAGATCCTCTTTTTGTCTTCAGAACTCTCTTAATTCTCTGTTCCACACATCCAACAAGCTGCTGGAAACATGACAGAGATTTTGGTCTATATCTGTGTGATAGCATCACACAGTTACCTGTATCTATTTATCTGCACATTCATGATGAGAATCTCTTGTTCCACCACATCCCAAAGTTGCTCAGTTGGATTGAGATCTAGTGATATTGGAGCCCAAACATGACAGTGAAGTCGCTGAACTGATGTTTAAGAAATCAGTTTGAGATGATTTGAACTTTGTGACATGGAGCATTATCGTGCTGGCAGCAGCCATGAGAACATGGGTACACTGTGGTTATAAAGGGTAACCTACACCACTAAATGCAGCTGTCTACCTAACAGTATAATGGGGCCAAAGTAAAATAACATCCACAACATGCCTTTCTATCAGCTCAAATCAGTGTGTCCATTCTCCTGTGACCTGTGGCATAAACAAGGCATTTTCACTCAGAAAACTGCTGCTCACTAGATATTTTGTTTTTCAGACTTTTTCCTGTAAACCCCAGAGATGGTTGTGTGAGAAAATCCCAGCAGATCAGCAGTTTCTAAAATACTCAGATCAGCCCCTCTAAAACCAACAACCACGCCACATTTAGAGTCACTTTAATGCTCTTTCTTCCTCTTTCTGATGCTTCGTTTAAACTTCAGCAGGTCATCTTGATCATCTCTACATGCCTAAATGCATTCATTTGGTGCCATTTGTGTTTGTGTGATAAGATATTTGTGTTTATATACAGTTGTACAGTCAAACACGTGTACCTAGCATATTTTCCAGTGTGTATTTGGGCTTCCTTCATTTAAGGCTAGAAAAGTAGCATTAATAGTTTTTGATTGGGTTTTTATGTGAGATACCTCATTTTACAAAGTTAAACAAAGTATGACAGCAGCTGAAAGCATTAAAAAGCACAGCAAATTCAAACAGAGAGCATAGTAATGTTTTTAATAATGATTTCTATACAAAAATTCCTTTGATACAGATAATTTCTGAGCAGATCAGAATTCCCTTCTCAGTATAAAAAACAAAACAAAAAAAAAATTCAGCTTTTATAACATATAGACAGTGACTGGATGTTCCAGTTTGGAGTCCTTAATACATCTCTGCATTCCTTTTATTCTCTTTGTCTTATTAAACAGACTTCCTTTTTCAGTTTAGAGTCCTCTGAGTAAAATGCCCTCCCTCTCTCTCTCAAACACACACCTACCTCTATATATCTCAGTTTCCTTTCTCCTATCAGAATGATTTTGCTGTCTTTATTTTACATTTCATAGTCCTTGAGATATGAAATCAGCTATCCCTGCAGATTAGTTCTTTGGATGTTTTTTCCCTCTACTTCTTTGCAGTGAATAATTTCCACTTCTTGCCAGAGGTTCTATTAGCACCCTGAATGTTGCTTCATTCAGCTCATTGGACTTTGATCCAAGACCACCTGGCCATTTCGAAAAACAAGGCAGCTGCAGGAGATCTTAGTGTCTTAATATTTGGTCAGTCTTGCCCCATTTTTAATACATTTGCAGTCTGTTTATTTCCTATACCTGAAATTTTAAAAACAAATAAGACACAACATATATATAGTTTGGTGTGCATAGATGTTTATAAAGTGCAAATAGTATTTGGTAAAGAAAAAAAAAAAAGAAGCTTTATAATGTGAGCGCCCTTTTTGTTTATGACTTATTCCAGAATATGTAAGCCCACCTCTGGAAACAGTTCACTTTCATCTACATTTCAAATGCCTCCACTCATATTCCCTTTCCCCTCAGCAGCTCGATAAAATGTCTCAGTCACCCTGCAGGGGGCAGTGTTTCTGTTAAGCGTTTACTTTTCATCCACTACAAAGATTTCTTCAGGGATTTTCTCCTCTGAGTCAGAGCAATCTGACAGCTTGTCCAGGTACTCCATGCCATTGAAGCGCTCAGCAACACAATGGGCGGTGAGACGGGCCTCCGGGTCGTGGTCCCAGCAGTCCTCAATGGAGGCACACAACATCTGGATGCCCTGCATGAGGAGAACAGGCTCACAGTTAGTCAATATAATAGACTTTGGGGCGATGCAACTTAACTCAAACAGAAGCTATGAATGTGCATTTATGCATTTTCAACTGTGTGTTTATCCATATGCACCTCTGTATCAGTACTTTTATATAGGACCTTTGATGCATTTCTATTGGAGAAACTAGCATTGA